GCAGTCTGAGCCTCCTTCCAAGAGGGCCAAGAAGTGAAGAGCTTTTGCAGCCCCAAGGGAGCGGGCTCCACTTTAAAGACCCAAAGACCATGGCGGGTTTTGAAGCCAGCCGCCAGAGTTTTGCTGGAGAAGAAAGGTTCGCAAAGGTGTTTCCCGAAAGGGCAGGGGTGCATTGTTGCATGCATGTGCCATGTGGCTTTTCCATGAATGGACAGCATGCATGAATTGTGCGATGTTTGGTATAATTCTTCTTCGTCCATGCACAGCAGCTGTTTGCCAGACAAGGCCAGAGGCTGTCCACAGCAATCCATCATGGAGCTTGCACCTGCAGCCGCCCCTGAGCCATGCGAAACTCCAGGCTGCCAGCGGTTTGCCAACTTGGGCCAAACCAAATGCTGCAGGAAGTGCAGCCAAGGTGGCAGCCATTCCAGCAGATGCTCGGCCAGGCAGGACCACTTTGCGGGCAAAAGGACCAGCGGCACCACCGGCATAACCGGCACTCCTCTCCGCTTGAACCCAAAGTGGGTGCCCATGTGGTTCGGTGCCAGCCTCCGGGTGCGGACCTTTCTCCTCCATGCCCACGAGACCATGGAGGAGTTCCAAGTGTCCATGGAGCCATCCACAGCATCCACGTCCTTCCAAAACTGGCTTCGAGCTCAATTGGTGGCTGTGCATGAAGCCACCCATGGTGACCAAGGCTCCAATGCTGATCTCACCAGAATAATCAAAGAGCTTCTGCACAAGCCATGAGCATGCCTGGACGGTGTGAAAACATGTGCTTGCAGGCATATACACATGTGTATATATATATATATGTATATAAGCAGTTGTTTTATGAATGTATTTTTTCTGCAACCGTGTAGAAATTTCTATAGATGTACATGTATATGATATATACCTCTGTACACATATGTTTGTGTAAATGTTGCATCTCTGAAGTTTTGCTACAGAGTGCCAATGTGGCCACTATATGTCCATAAATACAGGCTATGCATGTATGTAATATATATATATATATATATATATATACATACATGTTCATACTTATACATACACATACAGATTTATGTACATATCCCTATCTGTACTGCCAGAGTGGCTTGCATCTTATATGTATGTATATATTTATATATATCGGCCGATGTGGCTTGCACCATTTCTTTCTTAATTTGCCAATGTGGCCGGTTCGCTTTGCAGAGAGAGAGAGAGAGAGAGAGAGAGAGAGAGAGAGAGAGAGAGAGAGAGAGAGAGAGAGAGAGAGAGAGAGAGAGAGAGAGAGAGAGAGAGAGAGAGAGAGAGAGAGAGAGAGAGAGAGAGAGAGAGAGAGAGAGAGAGAGAGAGAAGAGAGAAGAGAGAGAGAGAGCGAGAGAGGAGAGAGAGAGAGAGAGAGAGAGAGAGAGAGAGAGAGAGAGAGAGAGAGTAGAGACACTCAACGAGACCTTGCATGAGATTCTTGAATGGTCTGCGGATGCTGCAGCCATTCTTGCCAAGTGTTGGCCTGCCCCATAGTGCTCCCAAGCCACCAGCCCTCCAAGATGGCCCCGAAGGCAGGTGCAGGGTCTCCATTTGGGTCCTGCTTTAGATATCTAAAGGGCTCATAACGACCCTGCAGGCACAAGCCATGAAGCCCCAGCAGGACTCCAAGGCCACGGTCTCCAAGCAGAACATGAAGAAGCCGGCCGCCAGCAAGACCACGGAGAAGCCAGTTTTGCCAGCCGGCAGCAAGACCACGGTGGAGCCAGAGGCCATGGACCCCATGGAGGACACTTTGGGCATGACCAAGGCCCAGCTGCAGGCCATGTTTGGCCCAGGCTTCGAGCCAGACTTCGAGGAGCCAATTGGGTGCCATTTGGCACTGCATTGCTCCAAACCAGGCTGCAGCAGCTGGGTGTGGTGCCACAAATTGTACCAGCGGAAGGTTTGCGTGCAATGCGGGCAAGTCTGGCTTCGGTCGTTTGTCGACCATGGATGCCGGCTCCAATGGCATGACTGACCACTTGGACCATGATGGCTTGGTGGAGTGAAAAAGAGAAGTTGCAAGCCTTTATTTGTCAAAAGGCCCGTAGCCTATATGTCACCCCTTAAGCCTCCAAGCCTATCTCGGCCCAAGGCTCCAAGCATACAGGGTTTCGCCTTTGATGGCTCGTTATTTCGCTAGGAGCACATGACATGTTTCTAGATGTCAATATATATATATATATATAGATATATACATATATGTGGTCAGAAGGCCCGTATCCTAGATGTCATCCCACAAAGCCTCCAAGCCTATCTAGGACCAAGGCTCCAGGTTTCCAGAGTCCCTGCTAGAGTTTCGCCTTTCATGGCTCGCTTTTTCGGTAGGTGCACTTTACATGTTTCTATATATGTCTTGCTATATATATATATGTATATATATAAAGACATGTAGGTATTTCTTTATATAAACAACTAATTTTCCTACAGATTTTGATATATAGAGAATTATGTATATATACTGGCAAAGCTGTAGACACAAAGTATGTCTAGTCACAAACACAGTTTAGAATTGTTGATCCTGCCACTGTGCTGCAGCCTTTCGTGCTCCAGCACACTTTTGCCATCCACGGCCAGCTTTGCTTTTGCATTTTGCACCATAATGTCCGGTGCCGCTCCCAAGAGCAATGCCAAGGCAGCCATGCCCACGGCAGCCTCCACAGGCTCCACGGAGGCAGCGGTCCCCACGGCAGCTCCAGCCAAGGCCCCTCCGGCCAAGGCCCCTCCAGTGCTTGGGCCATGGGTGGCACCCATGCCAAATCCAGCAGTTGCACCATTGGTGCTTGCAAGGCCATTGCTGCCAGCCAACCAGGTGACGGCCCTCACCATGGCCTGCGGGTGGTACGTCCCACCCACTGCGGTTGTCCAGAACCCAACTGCGGCCCATGCCACGGTGAGGTTCACCAACCAGCGGCCCAACTACAACTATCCAGAGCCCTGCCACTGGATCTGGGTGGAGTGCACCAGGTGCCAGGCGGCCATGGTGTCACTCCATGACATCCACCGGGCCAGAGCCTGCGTCCGCTGCGGCCACTCTTGGTTCCAGTCCATTTTTGGTGGGCTGCGGATCTATGAGCCACGGCAGGACCAGGAGGGCCAGGACGACCACGAGGACCAGGAGGGCCAGGATCCATGGGCTGCCGACCATGATGACGAGGCCTTTCCGTCTCCAAATGGCCAGACTGGGCAGTCATGGATTTTCTGAGTGCCCTGCAGGAGCCAGAGATCCACCAGCAGCCCATGGAGCAGCCCACGGAGGAGCCCACGGAGGAGCCCACGGAGGAGGCCACGGAGGAGCCCACGGACGAGCCCACGGAGTCCCAAGACCACGCAGGACCATCGCATAGCAGCATGTTCTGCTTGCCTTTGTTGTGTGACCTGGCATGCAGGACCAGCGGACGAGCCCACGGAGTCCCAAGACCATGCAGGACCATCGCATAGCAGCATGTTCTGCTTGCCTTTGTTGTGTGACCTGGCATGCAGGACCAGCGGCCTAAAGGCACCATGCATGGTCTTCCATGGAGCGAGCGGCCAGGGCACCATGGATCTTCCATTGCATCTTCCATGCGATGACAAAAAATTCGCAAAGGATCTCAGGTTTCGATAAGGCCACCCCCAAGGCAAAGGCGAACCAAGCGAAGCCAGTGGCCAAGAACCAGGACCACCTGCCGCCGCACAAGCGGGATCCACCGATTTTCGGGTGCCCCAAATGCCGAGGGAATCCAAGCGGTTGTGGGCAGTGCCTGAGCCCAACGTACACAGGCCTGCGGCTCCCAGGCCGAGAAGCCTATCGGGCCCATATGGCCCGAAAGGCCAGGATGGCCAAGTGAGCTCCAGGGCCATGGCGGGGAGACCTCCCGTGTCACCATAATTGGCCATTTTGGCTGACCAGATCCGTTGGCTTAACCACGGGCCTTGCATTGGGGCAAAAGTTTCTCGCAAGTTGTTTGCTTTGCATGCAATGCTCGTCTCTCTCTCTCTCTCTCTCTCTCTCTCTCTCTCTCTCTCTCTCTCTCTCTCTCTCTCTCTCTCTCTCTCTCTCTCTCTCTCTCTCTCTCTCTCTCTCTCTCTCTCTCTCTCTCTCTCTCTCTCTCTCTCTCGCTGTCGTCTCCGTGTAGAGATACACAGACACACACACACACACACACACGTATATATATATATATATATATATATATATATATATAGAGAAATGGTGTATACAATGGTTTATGTCGCATATATAATAAGGTTCTATTTCTCCAATTACTTTCGCTTTTCATTCAATAACTGAAAAATATATGCCTATATACATGCAATAAATATACATATTTATATGTATATATATATATATATATATATATATATACATATGTGTATATATAGTCTTATTTGCATATATATATATGTATATATATATATATATATATATATATACTTTTATATCTATACATATATATATATATATATATATATATATATATATATTTCATGTGCGAGCATGAATTTGACGTCTGTGGACGGTCAATTTCTTCTTGTAGCTGGAATATATGTATTTCTCTTGAGGTATGATACTGCAAGAATCATATATTCCTGACAAAGGGCCTCTATATGGCATGCAGGGTTTCTTTTTGGCGACATAGCAATCGGTGAGTGCCCTTTCCATTTCTGTCCTGCCATCTCTGAGAATGCATGACTTCTGTCCGTGAAGCTTGTTGCTCCAAACAAGAAGTACCAGCAGAGGCAATGCATGCAGGACTAGTTTGAACATGGTGCCCCGAGCTCCCCTCTGCAAAACCGTGCATATATATATATATATATATATATATATATATATATGCTTGTCGATGGAACGTTTCCCGTTGATTACGTGCAGACCAGATGGATGCAGACAGCTCAGATACATCGAAATATCTTAAAGTATGTGTTTACATATATATATATATAAGAAGTTCGGATCCATCATTTGTAAACCAAGTAGGCACTGTCCGAAGCCCTGGGTGACCATGGAGCCTTCCAAAAAGAAAGCCAAACTTCAACACCTTCTGACGTTCAAGGCCAGCCTGCCAGGCCATTCCCAAAGTGCTTTGGCGGGCTTCGTCAAAGCAGCCAAAGAGCAGGGCCTCCCGGAAGCCAGTTCTTCCAACGACCAGCGAAAGGCACGGCAACAGCTTCTTGAAAGCTGTGATGGCGGCCCCCTGGGACCATTGATCCAGCAGGCAGAACTGCCCATGAGCGACGGTGCCACAGTGACCATCAATTTTTCCAACCTTCTGGTCTATATCACCAGTCTTTTCGCCATGGGGGGCAGCTTCCATGATCTGCTCCAAAGGAAGCATGCGGCCAATCCCTCGTCGCTGGACCAGCCCTGGTCCTTGATCTTGTATTGCGACGAGGTGATCCCTGGCAATGTTCTTGGTCGTGCTGAACGCAAGCTATGGGCCATTTACGCCACATTCCTCCAGCTAGGCCAAGAAGCCATGGGCCACGAAGACATGTGGCTGACCATCAGCCTAGAAAGATCCACCTTCGTGGCCCAATTGCCAGGTGGCATCGGCCAGGTGTTCGCCAAGATTCTGGAAGCCATCTTTTGCTGCCCCATGGCTGAACCATGTGGAGGCCTGCTCTTGAAAAGTCCACATGGTCCCATGGGCAACATCCGCCTCCATTTCAATTGGGGTATATGCCTCGCTGATGGGGCTGCCCAGAAGCAGATCTGGTCTTCCAAAGGCGACGCTGGTACCCGATTTTGCATGTTATGCGCAAACATCCACTCAGCAGCCACCATGGCTGCAGGCCAGGATGTCATTGACCATGCGACGACCAAATACCACCAACTGCGCTTGACAACCGACACTGAGGTCATCCAGTCCTACCATCGTTTGGACCAAAGGCAGCAAACATGCACCAAGGCGGATTTCCAGCACTGGCAGCAGGCCGCAGGACGTGGAATGCCCATGCCCTCCTCTTGAACCAGCCGCTGTTGTCCAGAGGCCACATTCGACCAGTGAGCCAGTTTTGCCACGATTGGATGCATGGGATCTTGCAAGGCACTGGCCCTGTCGTCCTCTTCCAGACCATGGAGACCATTGGCATGGCAATGGGTTTCAATGCTTGGGATTCCATGGAAAAGTACATCCAGCTCTGGTCCTGTCCAGGGGCTTCCAAAGCAGGGCACCTGAAAGCTTTGTTTTCCTCCAGGATGGTGAGCAAACACCAGGCAAGTTATAAGTTTTCCTGCCAGGCCAGCGACCTCTTGAGTATATTCCCCATTGTGCGGCATTATCTCCACACCATGGTTATGCCGGTGGGCGGCTGCCCCATTAAGGCCTGCGAGGCATTCTTGGCCCATGCAGACCTGCTCGACCAGGTGCACCAAGGAACCATGTATGGGGCCACTACCAGGGCAAGCCTACTACCAGCTGCTGAGTTGGCCATCCAGAGTTTCGTGGAAGCCAACTTCGGAGTTTCCTTAATAAAGAAGTGGCACTGGCTTCTGCACCTGCCTGATTTCTTGGAGAGGTATGGGATGTTGCCAAGCACTTTCACCACTGAGCGCAAGCACAAAACCATTGCCAAGTATGCCACCAACTTGCAGAAGACCACGGCTTTCGAAAGCCATTTGATGCAGCAGGTCGTGGCCACGGAGATCACCACTTTGAAGGAGCCAGGTCTGCATCCGGACACCTGCCAGCTGCTGAAGCCAAAGAAAGCTACCAAGCAGCAAGTCCAAGTCCTCCGCGACTTCGTGGATGGCCCATTGAACGAAGCCATGGTTGCTTCGAGTGCGAAGCTTGCCAAAGGTGGCAACATTCATGCCCACGATGTGGTTGTCTTCCAGCAGCAAGACGGACGTTGGGAAGTCGGCCAAGTTTGGTTCCACTTGGAAGTGGGTGCTCAACAGGTCACACTTCTCCAGCGGTGGACTCCCACGGTGAACAAAGCATCCCACTCTGCGAAATGCACCATCGCGAACGAGCAAGGCTTCGTTCCCATCGACTCCATCCAGTACCCACTGCTGTATAGTAAAGCCTCAGACCAAGAGGCCACGGTGCTCATCCCGTACCAGCTCAACTGCAGGCTGTAAAACATCCATGCTTCACCTATTGAGTGCAGGTTTGGGTTTCGCCCTGATCATCGTGCCTACCTAGAGATTTGGACTTCCAAAGGGGGGTTTAGGGTTCGTTTTCATGCATGGTTTCTATAAGCTTTGAGCTGATGCCTTTCTCATTCTTTTTTTAAAAGGCCCTCTTGCTCACAAGATATCCATGACACCGCCTATATATGGCCAGCTACATATGACATATAACCCATGTGAAAGCCTATATGGCCAGCCGATTTCCACATAGCTCCCATACTTCATGGCTGTTCCATCCCATATATTTAGTGTAAGTCTTTGCCACGAAAGCCACACCCAAAAACAGAGTTATAACTAGTTAGCTAACTCCACCTAACTAGTTATAAAAAATTACTTAACTCATGTTAACCAAGATAACTAGTTATAAC